GGGCACATGGACCCTTAGGGTAATTTACTTTTCTTGTTTCAGGCTTTTCTGGAACCCATCCAACCACCTCACACCCAGACGCCAAAACCCAGCCTTCCACGCCCATTAACCCATTCGACGCACCGTGTTTGGAGCTCTGCAGTCCCCAGCGCCTGCAAACCCCGCATTTATGTGGCTTCCCTGGACTGGAGCCCGTGAGGCTCCCGAAACAAAGCCTTCAAGAACCTCCCTCCCCCCCCCAAAAAAAAAAAGAAATGTTTTAATCTAAACACTTCGAGGAGCTTTGACACAAAAAAAGGGGGCCCTTGAGAGAAGGCCTCCTCCGCCCCAGCGCCTCGCTGCCGGCGCTGCGGCCGCCCGCAGAGCTGCTGGGCGTCCGCCCGGAAACCCTGTGAGTTTGGGGAGCGTGCGGAGGAGCCTCAGAGTCTTCCTGGAGGTTTAGGGTTTAGGGTTTAGGGTTCAAGGTTTAGGGGAGTATCTCTGAAATATTCAAAAAAGTTGCATAGATGCTCGGATTGCAAAGGAAGGCTTCGCGTCGTCGGGTGCAGGGTAGGTCTCCAGATCAGGGCCCAATAAAAGCAGGTTCAGAGAGTGCATCTTGCGACGGAAGTTGGGTTCCCTTTAAAGGGAAGGAGGGAACTTCTCACCTCGTGGGCCGAGGAAAAGGCGAAGCTGAACTTGAGCGCTAGCTTTTCGAGGGAGTTCCCTTGTAATCTGCATGCCGGAAGACGGGGCAGTTGTTGTTGTCCATAGTTCTGTCATGTTCTGTCAGGTTAGGGTTGAAAAGTTTAGGTTGCCTGATTCCAGGTTTTGGGACTTCAAGATAATCGGGGCTCCGTGATCCGGGACCCGGGGATGCCCAACGCAACTCGAAACCTGGAGGCCCGAACCCTAATCTGCAGGAATCTACATCTTCGGAGATCACGGTGCAGGTTTGTGGAGTTGGGGAATAGTGAAGGTCAATGGACACTCAATGAGCTGTCTGAGGTGATGAGTATTACGAGGGCGATGACCTCTTCATGCACGAGGTCTCGCGTTGATTCGGAAAACCGGGATGTGCCCGGGGTTGTTTTGCAAAGCCAAGACGGCCTGTTGATGTGCTCTTGAACAGCTGCCAGCTGTTGGCAGATCCGTTTTGACTCAATTTCCACCCAGACAAACTCAAGTTCCTTGGCTCCACCGATGATTCCGTGCTGTTGGCAAGGACATGGCAACACCCTCAAGCCCTGCGCAAAGCTTGTGAGCTGTCAGGTTAACAGCCTTACATGAGTCCTGTCCAGAGTATCCAAACTCAACAGCCTGAGTCCAGAATCTGAAAGCATGAACCCCAAACTCACACCTACGTAAACCCAGACAGCCTTCGTCCTAACCTCGATGTTTTTTCTCCCTCAAGAGCTTACAGGCTTCAACCTCCCCAAACCCAAAGCGGCTTCCTCGACCTCCGAACCGGCTCCCAAGGCGATGCCCGAAGCCTCGAAGCCGCACAGGACATTCTGCACACGTCGAACCCGAAGCTCTTCCCCCTGCGCGAAGGCCTCCTTGGTGCCCCGAAGGGCTCAGTGCATGAGCGGCCTTGTCAGTAGAAGGTAGACCGGAGTATAGTTGTCCTGCCTGACAGTTGTAAGACTCTCGGAAGCTTCATTCATATGGCAGTTCCATAAATTAGAGTCCCTTTCCAGGGTCCTTTTATAAGGGCGCCGTACTATTTTGATGAGCTAAAAACGGGCCCTAATTGCCTAATTTTTCAAAACTACCCATATAGGTAGGTTTTTCCTTTCGTTTGCGGTCCTTCCCACGCCGGTCCTGCCAGGGCACAGCAGGCCCTTCCCGATGCTGCAGCTGGCAGATGTGAGCTTCGACGAGTTCTCTTGACGGGTTTAGGCTTTAGGATGGGCGTCGCTTCCCGTGTACATAGAAGGCGATCGCCACAAGTGCGCGGCAAGCAAGAACAGTGGTATCATCAGCGATCATTGCCAGCCCATGCACGGGATGGAGCGGAGAGCATATTGTAGCTATCAGAACGGAAGAAGCGTTGACGTGCACTAATATCCCCCCCCCCCCCCCCCCCC